AGTCTGCCCTAGGTTCCACACTAGCTGCCATACCTGCACCCAACTATGGGGGATACCCATTTAAATCCTCTGGCTTATATTTCTGTAATACGCTTTACCCTAACACCCTTATGGGATTAGCAATGCCGAATAGGACCCTAAGACTTTAGCCATATACAGGTATTTATCCTTGTAGTAAATCTAACAGAATAGTATATGTCCTACACATGTACTCACCTGCGTGTTCGGTAACTTTTCCCCAACTAGTACATGTTGTGCTGCCGCTACTGGGTCTGTATCTCAAGCTATCATTTCGGATACTGCCGTAACCCGGTTCATATCTCAAGCTACAACTTTCCTAATTAGTTCCCACTTACGTACTCCTGTCCTTGCAAGGTTCACAACAACCCCAGTACCCACGTTCCAACTTCCTTCTTTCCAGATTCCTTACCGGTCCCTCTTTTACTTCCAGCCGGCAACCTGGAAGGGTCAGTCTGCCCAGGCTTTAGGTGCATTACAGTTTCTCTTCACTTGGTACATGCTTCTAGAGCATATATCCTTTTCCTCTAGTTTGGCAATCCAGCAGTTCGGCTAGTGTGTCCCCCCTTCTTAAGAACCTGGTCGCTCGGTTCTCCGGTTTCAGTTTCCGGTTCTAAATTTAGTCTTCCTGTAGCACCGTCAAAAATCGCTGCTACTCCCAACTCAGGACTTGCCAAACGGGTTTTTGGTAATTCCGGTTTCCTAGATTTATTACGCCGAAGCTTCCATTCGAGATGGTGTACCAAGATTACAGATATCTGGATCCAACTGATAATCTTAACGTTAACCAATACAGATCTAGTTTTTTCAAAATCATCGTTCGTGGGATTCGAACTCTAGACCTGCTGTTTGGGGGTGTGACAACTCCACCACTTCACTAAGTCGCCACACCCTTCATGCTTCTAAATTACTTTAGGATAGGATAATTGTAAATATTAGTAAATCAGGGTACATAATACAAACTGGCATGTATATGTTTCAGAATTGAAAAACTTTTCACTTATCTGATATGTCAATAAAGGTTGTATGAACAATGGATAATCGAAATGTTTACCGTGACACTCAAAGAAAATGTGAAAAAAGAAAAATAAAACACCTGAGTAATGCGAAGTACGATAACTTCAAGATCGCGAAAGAAAGCGTGAAAAAAGAGCTGTAGAAATGCCCCAGGAATGAGAAACGCATCTCATAAGTATTCGCAATCATTACCAAAAACGTCGAAAACAAGTAACTAAAAGTGGTAAGAATGATGGTGTGAATGATAGTGAGAATGATGGTGAGAATGATATAAATAATGGCATGAATGGTGCGAATGATCAAGTAAATAATGCGAATGTTATGATTGATGGTGTGAATAGAGTGAATGATGATGTAAATGATAGTGTTAACAATAATATGAATAATGATATGAATGATATGAATAATGGTATGAATGATGCGAATATTGTAATTGATAGTGTGAATAATGTGAATGATAGTATAAATGGTATTAATGGTGGTATGAATAATAGTAGTGAACAAATGAGACAAGAGAGTCGATTAACTAATGATGAGCAAGAAATGCAACATGCCAATATTTAGGAGATACAAATTAGTACAACTACACCTGTTGAACTACTTTCTGCTGCTGATCTTAGTGAACTCGATCAAGTTCTTCTATATAAATTTCAAACTAAAATAGATAAGATCATATATACTCTTTGCCCGTATATAATGAAAGCTTTCTATCAATAGTTCTTGCTATGAGGGAGTATCGTCATTGTTATAGTGAAAAGACCTTACCAAAAAAGTTTTTTGAAGAAAATAACATGAACCCTGGTAAAGTACCTAAAGAATTGCAAGGACTTACAGAGATAGAAGAAATGTTAATTGTGCAAGTTTTCCCAGTAATGTCGGTCTATAAACTTCGTAGTGGGCAATATGGGTATTGTAGAAATGTAATAAACTTTCTGCAAGATGTATATGAATTCACTACTCATCTTCCTCGAAGTTCCTCATCATTGAATATGTTAGTTATACACCACTAGTTAGCAAGGTCAGAATTCTTTAGAGATTTTCTAGTCCATTGTGAAAAGGTTGCTTGTGCATTAATGTGGTTAAGAGAAAATAATCAGTATTATAATGAAATTACAATTGATGAAGGCGTTCTTCAGTCCTTACCTGCAAATAGTTACGTTAATAATCAGCTCACAAATAATGAAATAGTAGCTGAAGAATCAGATAATGAAGAAGTTGAGGATGATATAATTACGCATACCTTTGTTTCGTCTCTTCCACCAGTTCATAGAGAAGATACTGCCATTAAAGATACTCTTAACTGCATGCAAAGTGAGAGCAATCCTTTACTATGGCCAAATATAGAAAATATACCTATTAATGAATTTAGAATACCGAGTTATATTGCATGTGCTTTCTTAACTTTTTACCCAACAAGATCGTCCGATCTTCAGTCGGAATGCATTAGAGATATCAATCTAGCAAAATATTTCAAGCATTTACTTCAGTACAAAGATGGAAGATTTGCATGGTATATGTGTTGGAGATATTTTGCATTGAATTCTATAATACGATAGCAGGTACTGCAAGAGAGAAAAGTGTATGTTAAGCAAAAATTTAGTGATGAGCAACTTATAGTTAAAGATATTCAAGACATGGGGTGAAGTCAATAGAAATGAGACAAATTTATCTAATAAATTTGTCCCATTTCTATTAACTCCACCCCACATGATTGCTCAAGGTGATAAATATGTTGCTGACTACATTATGCAATATGGTAAAGGTTTGCATGGATCCTGGCAATTTTGGATAGGACAACATCGTGAATTGTCAGATATGATTAAACAAATAGGCTCGTGTTCTTTTATTTAGTGCTGCTGACTTTCATTGGCCAGAGCTCCATGAACTTATTATATTTAGCAAAAACTCTGCCCAAGTAACTGAATCTACATGATGGCAAAATATAATTAATAATCCACATATTGCAGCCTAGTTCTTCTGCAAGCGCTTTGAGACCTTTTTTAATGATGTATTAAAGCGGCAATGGGATCTTGAAGATTGGTGGTATCGATTTGAATAGTAGCACCATGGTAGTGTTCACGTGCATAGAATCAGAAAATGATGAAATGCGCCTGCAGTTAATTGGACACAGATAAAAGGTGATGAAAAAGCAATGAATGAAGTGGCACAATATATTGATACTTTAGTTTCCACAATTAATCCTGAACTTAATGCACTAGTTCCAGAATGATATCCATGTCAAAAAGGTAGTGAAGAACTGAAGGATAATCTTCAAGATTATATAGAATTGGTTAACAAGCTACAATGACACACATGCTATAGTCCCTCATACTGCCTTTACGTTAATCGGTTAAGACAACGTTCCTGTAGATTTGGGTATCCTAAGGATACTATTAATCATATTATATTGCATGATGATGAACATAGTAGGCCAGAGGTTATTATAGCAAGAAATAACCCATTAATCAATTCACACAATTAACTTCAACTACAGGGCTGGAGAGCAAATATAGACATCAAACCAATTCTTAGTACCCATGCCGCTTTACAATATATTTCAAAGTATGCAAGCAAAGCAGAACCACAATCAGCAACTTTTTTTAAAATACTAAACCAAATCCTTCAAAAAAGCAATCCGGAAAATCTATCACTTTCTTCTATTTAAAAATTACTATTACATAGTGTTGCAGAATGTGATGTCTCTGCTCAGGAAACCTGTTATCTTCTTCTAGGTATTCCACTATACCATTCTAGTTAGGTATTTGTCTCCTTGAATCTTAACAAAAAAGTACTATGATAGATTTATGGTACTGGTAGTAGAGATAAAGAAGAGTACGATAGCATGGATTATACAGGTAGGGGTTGTGTTATGAAATTACAAACTTACAATACATATAATTTTATGCAAGCTTTAGTAAATCAAATTTTATGTAATTTCATCATGTTATATATAAAGTACTAGCTTTACAAAAGCTTGCCTAGCATTAGTAAATCATTTGATTTGAATATATGATTTACATTGCAACCTCTTAATCACTGAAATTTCACTACAAATCATAATAAATTACAAATTACATGAAAACTGATTTATCGAAACTTACTGTAAAAATTACCAAAATTACGTAGAATTAAAGTAATTTCGCAACTATAGATGTAGAACGCATGGTCTAGTCACCTCTAAAATTATATTAGAAACATCCTACAGAATTTGAAAATTTCTCTTTATTTTAACTCATAAATTTACCCAGAATAACTGAAATAAATGCAAGCATGAAAATATAGTATGTATCTTTTCATGGCCTTTACTCTTACGTAATAGTCCTCAATGGGAGGAGTTTTGCTACATAAAAGTTATTCTATATATTCTATATAGAGATATTGAACAACTGACCAACAACGATACTATTAAATGGTCAACTTTATATAACCATTATTACGAAAAGATAAATAATGACCCAATTGACTTACTTGGACCCCATGTAGATGAAGGCAAGCTTACCAACGACAATGATAATGATAATCAGAGTGAACAGCCTAATGATGATGAACAGGAAGAATTAAGATTAGATTGGATGTTATTGGCAGAAATGGGCCCAAATGCAGTTATAAATGATTCCTGCGATCTAAAAACTTGTAATATAGATCTTACTCATAGATGGGTTGATGATGCTAGGCAATGCTACTCTGATACTGACCTTGCAAATGCCGATACTTTTATATATCAAGCTTCTAGTAGAAATCATCAAACAGATAAGAATACGCATGTAAATACAGGTTTCATAAATCCTCAAACCCTAAATAATAATCAAATGAAAGTGTTTAAAAGAATTGAATTACATTATCGTAATGTGCTTATAGGCTATTATGTTAAACCACTAAAAATCATAATATTAGAAACAGCAGAAATGGGTAAATCATACCTTGATAATGTGATTCAATACACACTTCATCAAATAACAGGAATTGGATCTAGATCACTAATACTTGTGCTTGCTCTGACAGGTGCTGCAACATATAATATTAATAGTATGACGATCTATTCGGTCCTTTCGATCGCAATAAATGATGGCAATAATAATCTAGATATAAATAGAAAATGCTTAAAATAGCTACAAAAGAGATTAGAAGGTATAATCTATATAATTATAGATGAGAAAAGCATGATAGGATGGCACATGCTTGCTTTAGTTGACATGCGTCTACGCCAAGCTTTTCCAGAACACAAAAATGAACTCTTCGGTGGAAGGTCTGTTATTATGGTTGGCGATTTTGGCCAACTTCCACCAGTACTCGATCTTCTAATATATACCAGCATTAAAAGATGAGATCCATTGTCAAATAATAGGCATGCAGTATCCCAACAATTCAATGAAGTATACAAACTTGATATAGTTTAGCGACAATCTGGAAATTTAGAAGAACAAAGAAGGTTCAGAGACATCCTTTTATGACTTCGTGATGGTGAATCTATAATAGATGATTGGAAGTTGCTTACTACATGATTTGAAGAAAAATTATTAAGAGCAGAGTGTGAACAGTTTTCAGAAACTACTTACATTTTGCCAAGATGGTCTGCTGTGGACATCGTAAATATTAATAAGCTTTGAGCTTTAAATGTCCTAGTTGCTAAAATTATCACAACACATAGCGATAATAGAGATGCTAAAAGAGCCGACTTAGACACTGCACACAGTCTTGAAGCACAGCTGTTGTTGGCAAAAGGAGCACATGTCATGCTTATAGCAAACATTTAAACAGAATCTGGACTTGTGAATAGAGCATTAAAAACTGTCCAAGATATTTTGTTCAAAGATCATGGACTCCCTTCCTTACCTATAGCAGTTTTTGTGTCCTTCGATTGTTACTAAGAGCCTACAATTACCAGTATAGAGGGTACAAAAGTTGTTCCAATTATGCCAATTAAATGTACCTGGAAGGGTAAAACAGGTAATACATGTTCATGTACACAGATTCCCTTTCATCTTGCCTGGTCCATTACGGTTCACAAAAGCCAGGGCTTATCTTACCTAAAGCATATATATCATTTGAAGATAAAGAATTTAGTGCAGGGTTTTCTTTTATGGTGTTGTTACGTGTCTGTTCTCTTGATGATCTTCTTTTCAGATCATTTAATTTTGACAAGTTAAGCTGCATTAAAGCCTGTAAACGTTTACAAGAGAGAAAAGTTGAGGAAAGATGACTACTTTCCTTCATACCTAGAAATTAGTTAATAGTGTTAATAACTCAACAATGAAATAAAAATCAAACTTTGGTTCTCAACAATAAGCTTTAATAGGTAACAAATAAAAAAAAAAAAATGGCAATTACTGATTTGCTGATTACTTACATAAATTTATAAGCTGCATCGAATCGATCACGAATCCATGATCTTTTAAACATATAAAAGGTAAGTTGTTTTAAAAACAAACAACATTGGGATTACTCACATGATACGCATGTGGACAGACAAGAATTTTCAAAGTTACGATTTTGATAAATAGCTTAGGAGGTATATCAAAAATATAACTATTAATGTATCGTAATGTATCAAGATCGTAACTTTG